CAACACGTACCATGTAGAAGGAGCAGTATATACAAAAGCTTCTTTAGGAATGAAACCTCTGTCTTGTTTTTGATGAAAATTTAGGCTTATTACGCTACTGTGTGGTGTTGGTCATTTGTGGTGGTACTTGGAGAGGCAAGTATTTTCTGGGTTACTTGGTGTAAAAAGTTTGAGAACCACTGCCCTATGGGGATTAATAAAGTGCACCATTACCTTTAGTACCACTTTTGGCCAGATTTTTACATACTTCTCAGTTAAAGATCTTTTTCAAGGTGCTGTTGTTATTATAGCAGCTTGCTAGGATTTAGTCTTTCAAAAAACCTTTTGCTATATTAACGGTTAAAGAGCAGCAAAGGGGGGTGACAGTGGCACAGTTGGTAGAGCATTGGCCTTCGGGCCCATGGGTGTGGGTTCGAGCCCACCATCAGACCTACTTCATGACCCCCACTGATGTCATCACACCACCTCCATATATAGTCTTTTACTGATGGCTCGCTTTATTGTTGCTTGTACACAATATTTTAAGGGAAATATGTAGCACAACGACGTAAAACTAAAAATAAGCAACATAAAACACAATTAATAACATGAAACACTAAATGCACTTAAACATACTACAAACACATATACACTTACCTTGCTGGCCGACCTATACTTCAGAGGTAGAGTTATGACCTTGTCATTGCTCAAAACAAGTTCCTACCCAATGATTTTCATAATAAAATAATACATTCACAAATAATTCAAAAATAGACAAATCAAAAGTATGGCAGTAAAAGCAATTACTTATTTTTAATACAACTGGTGGATAATGTAAAATGTTTGGAGGAATGTTTTAAAACCCATTGGTTTAAATGGGAACAGAATGACGGCTCTGGGAGTTCAGGTCTGTGACTGATGAGGAACAATTTGTAACGGATGAGGAACAATTTGTAACGGCAAAAAAGTCGATTTTCTTTTAAACGTTTGTACAGCCCAGACTTACAGCAATTCTCTCAAAGGACTTGACAAAAGTGTTGAATTGCCATTGCCAAATATTAGGAAATTGTAAGGTGACAAAAGAGAGCATGGCATGGAGCATGGACAGAGAATGAACACTAACCAGCCTGAGACTTTGGGAATGTCCATCCCAGAGCAGACATCTGAGACATAAAAAGGTCGAATGGAGGACTATCATTAGTCACAAAGATACCAACCTTCAAACCGGGACAAATTATTAACTCTAGGAACAAACATCCTTGCCTCCCTCTCTGGCGAGATCAAAGATCAAATCGGGTCTGGCGAATCTCTCCCAGGCAGACTGGCGATCCACCAACGGCGTTCTGACGCCTCCCAGTGGACACGGGACGCTAGCACACCCGAGATGGACAGTCGAAACCACCGCTCCGTGAAGTCATTATTCTGATAACCTTTACTGTGCTCTACACGTGTGTACCATTGTCTGTAATGTAAATGCGCTGTGTGTCTGTATATGTGTTATAAACGTCGGTGTTAGTAATGCATATGCCGTTATAACATGTCTGTTGTGAAAGATGTCCAGGGAGACGCACAAAGATGACGTCACAGACGCGCCTCCTTTGACTGGAATACAAAAGCACACGCAAGCCAAAAAACTTCCTCTTGGCATCTTAAACGAACGTAACAGCAGGTACGCGTCTCCAACGCGACCTCCGTGCCTGTAACAACCTGGGCCCCTACCTCCACGAGGACAGCTAACAATACCCGCTGTCGGAGACGACGAACTTTCATCAACCAGCCACTTTCCTGCTTCCAGACGGACGCCTCCACATGCAACGCTTTTCCTAGGCAGCGTGTGTGTGTGGGGATTTAAAGTTTGAATCCGATCTGCTGGCTTTCGTCTCCCCCTGCTCGAACAAAGGAACACGTGGACTCTTCCCCCCCCTCTTCTTCATTCTTCGATTCTTCAATACGGACTACGTCAAAGTAAGACTGTTCTAATTGCCACGTTAATGTGTGATTCACGTGATATGTTTAACATCTCTGCTTAATGTGACCAAATACCTCCTCGTTGATATTTTTCTATTTTCGTATGTAGTCAATAAACCCACGATAAACATAGCAATCGTCAAGTGTCCTTTTTATAAATCTTTTGATATCCCTGGCTGATTTTGAACTCTTGTCTATCAGATTGTGAGACTGATCGAGGCAGATTAGTATTGGATCTGTGTAGAAGCTTCAAATTCTACTGGTGCCCCTAAAATAAATTCAGATCCCTCTCTGTGGAACGGCGAGGCTCCGACCTGGAGACTAGCCTGCCCACAGTACAATTTTTCCTACCCTTCAAAATCAAGGAGCCTCTTTCCTGTTTAACTGGTACCAGATATTTAAATTTCCAGGCCGAGTTGGTACTAAAGTGTTCAAACTGATAGTAATTGGTCAGAGTGCAGCTAGAAGGTTGCCATGGTTACCAAAGAATTTCTCCGGATAGTGGTTTGTTGTGGGTAGGTGGCTAGGATACAGTACAACAGGGGTCACCAACCTTTTTGAAACCAAGAGCTACTTCTTGGGTACTGATTAATGCGAAGGGCTACCAGTTTGTTACACACTTAAATAAATTGCCAGATATGGCCAATTTGCTCAATTTACCTTTAATTCTATGTTTTTACTAATAATTAATGATATTTATTTTGTGGAAAAACTTTTATATTTTCTCTAAGTGCACATTTTTCAAATTTAACAAATTATCACTTCTAAGACAGTCCCATTTAATCGCAATTAATCACATTTTAATCGCATATAAATATTTGACCTGAGAACAGTGAGAAGTAATTTTTTTCACATGGATTTTTAGTTACCATTGAATAATGACTGAATACATGAGGCTTAAGCAACACATGTTAATATGGAGTTTAAGGGATAACTTCTAAACATCAAATAACGTTTCTGTCATTGCCTCCACACTCTGACGACAACATATGCTCCTCCTCCTCCTCCTCACACTGACGACAACATACTCTTTTTAAGCCCAAAATCCACTGCACACGCTGTGAGCACTAAAGCTGGGCATGCGCTGTTTGCTAAAGCTTTTATAATACGTTTTTGATGTGTGCATTCGGAGTAAACATCAGCATTAGCAGCTCACACACACCTGTGTCTCGCTCCTCCTTCTCCTTCTCCTCCTCCTCCTCCTCCGCTCACACAGGAGTCACTGCTCCTCCTCCTTACACACAGAGTCCATCGCTCCATACACAGCGCTCATTCCCGTCTAATTTACTCGAATTTAAAGTTGGTCTCTGCTTGTAATAATTTACTTTTGCACAAGAAAAGTCACGGAGCTCCGGTTGGTGCGTCAGTTCAATTGGTCCGTCTGAAACTTATTCAGTGAGGAACGTTCCGCGGTGCAAAAATACATACGATTAAAATGCGTAATTTTTTTAACGCGCTTTTTTGTGTGTAATTAATTAATCTTTATTAACTTGTTAAAGTCCCGGCTCTAGTTTATATGCCATTTGTAAGTTGCATATAAGTATGATTTAAACAAGAATAGCACTGGTAAGTGCTGCCATTTGAGCTATTTTTAGAACAGGCCAGCGGGCAACCTGGTGGCCGCGGGCACCGCGTTGGTGACCCCTGCAGTACAAGATACTAAAGCGTAATGGAAGCACACTTAAGCCCTATTCGCACCGGATTAGTATTACCTGTGGACACCTGGTAATTTGTGATCATCGCGGAGGACGTCTGAGATCATGTAGTGCATTCACACGGGATAAGCAATGTCTGTAATTTTCACTAACATCTCACATAACGGCCGCACGTACGTGGGTCTCTCCGCTTCACGCAGTTCATAAAGTCTGGTGTCTGACCACAGCAGCCACAGAGACCATGAGGACAAACACATAAATGTAGATTTTACTGCTCTACAGTTCTCTCACCCGTACTGTCTGTATTGTTTAAACAATACTGTTTGTACAGACTACCCTGAACGCACTACATACTCTGCAAAGATACGCGCGAGTCGACAAGCAGTAACGGCTGCATCAACACGTCTGTACTGTATTAGGACAGAGTGCAAAGCAAACGTACGAACACAACCCATTGGTCTCATGTTGTGTCAGTGAACACATTACACTGTCCTCGACACTTCTCTATAGACCTCACAGAGACAGCAGCAGCTGCGACTCTGCTGGTATCTGTCCAAACACAGACATCCTGTGATAATAATAATCCCCTGCAAATCTGCATGTCACACTAGAAAAAATTACCCTGAAAAAAATAAGAATATGTGTGAAAAGAAGTAAAATACTACTTAAAATAAGAAAAAATATCTGCCAATAGAAAAAGAAAATATGACTTGACAAGAGCAATTAGCAACACTAGTATATTTATCTTGAGTTCCATCCATCTTCTTCCCCTTCATCCATTTCTGGGTCGGGGGGGTGGCAGTCAGAGCTGCACCCAGTACACTCAGCACCAGCCCCTCACTGATCCTCCTGCAGGTGGTGAGTCCACAGCAGCTGAGATCTTTCAGCGGGGGCTTCAGGCAAAGTGGGATTAAGTGTCTTGCCAAAGAACACAACGACAGCAGACATCAGCAGAAGTCGTGAAGTACATCTTACGGTGGGCTCGAACCCACGACCTTCAGGCCCAAAGGCCAATGCTCTACCAACTGAGCTACTGTCGCAGCTCAAGTATCTTGAGTTATAAGTGAAAAATGCTTGAAACTAGAAGATTATTTTGGGATTTTAAAAAAACATAACAATCAAACAGTCTCATTATTTGTATTGCTCAAAAAGCAAGTAAAATCTCAAGTAGCATATGAAATGAACAAATATGGACAAATGCCTTCTCTACAAATATACAATAGCATTTTCAATAAAGATGCGAGTACATAACCTTCTTCACATATTATTTTGTTTGCTACAACTTTTAAAAGTCTCTGGACTTTTAAAAGTCCAGAGACGGGGGCCGTAGTGCTGGAAAGATGCCTCGCCTCTATATCTTCTTATAGAAGATTCTTGTTTCGTTGAGTTGCTAACTAACTAACTGTGCTTTATAAGTAAAATTCTGAAGGGCCGGGGCAGTACGGGCTGGGTGGTGGAGAGGCTCACCTTGAAGGGCCGGGGCAGCTCGGGTTGGGTGTAGCGCATGTACAGCAGACCCAGCACCACAACCGCGATGAAGAGCCAGCGAATGAAACTCATGAAATTCAGTAGACTGTAGATGTCCCCCACAAAGAGCTGCAGGACGGTCATGGGGTACTACACACACAGTGACATGCAGACAGACACACACAGAAACACGCACACATAGAGATACACACACAGAGACACACACAAATACACACTCACAGAGACACACACGGACTACTATTAGTAAAATTATTCATCATATCACACAGAATCACACAGTCACAAGAATCTGATTAATTATCTGTGCGTCTAGATCTAATGCACACAGACATGATGGAGTGAGGGACATGGAGGATGTTACATCCTGTTCTAATTTAACTTCGTGATTAAAAAACATACAATTAAATATCCAGTGCTATGTGAAATTCTCAAAAAAACAGGTCACGTGACTGAAACCCATGGATAGAAATAAATTGTATAAAAAGCTTGTGTTCTGTGTTAAACACTGACCAGCACAAAGACAGCGGGCAGCGGCGTGTGTCTGCGCACGTGGATCATGGACAGAACTCTGGGCAACTGTTGCTCCCGGGACGCCACGTAGAACATCCTGCAATAAGGGTCAGAACACAACTGCTCAGAAGTGTCTGTCTGTTGGTTTGTCCATTTGTCCATCGGTTCATGCGTTGTACCTGGCCAGGGCGAAGAGCGAGCCATTCATGGAGCCGAAGCAGGAGAGGGCCACAAACACAGGCACGACCACAGATAAGCTCCCATACACCCGCTCGGCAAATGTCTGGGACAGAGAGGTGACGTACTGTACTTGAGACTATACTAGACAGAAACAGGTAGGAAAAATGGGAGAGAACAGAAAGAGAGACCATAGATTCCAGAAAGACAAGAGAGAGACCAAATAGACCAGAAAGACCAGAGTGAGCCTAGAGATAGAGGTACAAAAAGTAAATGAGCCGTGCCGTGGACATGGTGGTGGCCTGAGGTTGTACGTATACTGAGACTGAGTGGTGACCTGAGCACACCTTAACAGTGTGCAGAAAAAAAATAATCCTTTTCTATACAATCTAAAGTACAAAGTTCTTTGGAGTGATAATGATGATGATGTGTTATTGTCTTGTAATACTGAGCCTTGAAGACCACAGTAAAGTTTCTAATCCAGTTTGGAACTTAACTTTTGTACGGCGTCTGAGAAGGAGGAAGTGCTTGGAATTATTTAATTCCATCAGAGCCTTTTAAGAGCAGCTAATACAAGAAATGCTATATTATCACTACACCACGCCAAAGAAGGTAACCACATTAGCAGTGATCCAGCACTCAGCCAATAAGGCATGGCTGATTAGCATCAGTACGCAACGCTATAACCCATTATGACTGATACAGCTCAGAGAGACAAGTGTTATGCAATTATATGAGAAATATTATTCTTTTTTGGGCTTCCATCCTCCCTGCACAGGTGAACAAGACCCCGAGATACTGGAACTCCTCCATCTGGAGACCTCTGCACCTGGAGAGGACAAGGCACCTTTTTCCTCATATACAAAACTTATTCCATGATAGAGATGCTCATAATAACAGAATTGTAATAATGATTGAAATCAATGTGTATCTCAGTCGAAAGAGTTGCTTTTTAGGTCAGATTTACAAAGGATTTAAAAACATTTTCAAACTTGATTACATTTTCTTTTTTAACTGCTTAAAAAAAAGTACTGAACCCTCTCTAAAAGCAATGCCGATTATGGGGATTGTTAAAGTAATAGGCCTTGAATTCAGGCGAATAATTCTTTCATTAATGTGTTTAAATTAAAGAGAAAACAGCCTTTTAAGCCTCAGTTTTATCTAAATCTAACATTAAATCTGTTTAGGTGTGTAGAGTGGTTCCTGGTTTATCATGGTGGTTAAGTTTTAAGGCTGTCAAAACCTCTTACCACACACTTTATACACTTACCTAACACCCTGAACTCAACACTGTGTGATCACACTGCTGCTAAACTACAGATGTAAACATACTGCTGCTAACATGTACAGATGTAAACATACTGCTGCTAACATGTACAGATGCTAACATATAACTACACTTAACTATAAATACACAGTACTTTATACTTGCCTCTTATTGCCAAATGTAAAACTTTTACACCTCTTTTTATTATTATTTTTAAATAGAGATTTTATACTTATTATTGATGCTAGAGTTAGAGTTTTTGTTTTATTTGTATTAGTATAGCTATTGTTCACTTTATTTGTGCCGTGTGCTCTTTCCTACTGTTCTATACAACACTGAAATTTCCCCACTGTGGGAAGAATAAAGGATCTCTTCATCTTAAAATATCAATCCTGTTGGTTGTAGGACTGAGGGCTACTGCAGCTCTCAAAAGCCATGCATAGACCAGGGAAAAAGACCGAAGAAAGGCCAGAAAGAGAGCGGGACCAGAGAGAGAAACAGAATATAATTTGACTTACTTCTTTATTTATCACAGTGGAGAAAGTTTGAAAGCCGAGCATTTGGACAGAAGGGGCGGGCGTGTTTGTGAGGAGCTAAAAACAACTGCAGGACTGTTTTTGGTGAGGAACAATGTATCTATGAACTCAAAGAGCAAATAGAGAAATTAAACAAAGCTGAATACTGCCCCCATGTGGCCACATATAAGTATTTTATTTGAGGTCACTAAAGGGCACATGTATATACATCATTACAGAAGAGTAACTTTAGAAGCAAAAGAAGACCAAAGAGAGACCAGAGATGGAGACCTACACTGACATGGCGGAGAACATGCAATTACGTAAGACCCTGATCCAACCAGAATTTGAACCCAGTGTTAGTGCCTTCTTCTCTCATTCTTCATCTCTCATTCCATTTGTCGTGTATCATTATTATATTCATATATGGTCTATTTTCAGAGGCTAAAGTGAGCAGTAAACATGTCCTCTGTAGTTCCAGTGAGTGTGCTGGAGCTCTCACCACAGCCACAGCTTCAGAGGCCAGCAACTCATCGACAGACATCACACTGAAGTAGGCCACGTTAGTCAGCACGTAGCAGCAGGTAACCACAGCCATGGAGATGCAGATGGACAGAGGAAGAGTTCTGAACACACAGTACAATATTTAAACATATACTAGATACTAATCTTAGTACTTGGTTCTCCTCAGAACCAACTCTGACTCTGAGAAGCCCAGGGATTGGCCTCCTACCAGTGCCCAGCGTCAGGACTGAACATGGGGAGGCCGCGTTTCAGACTTATGCAGCTAAAATCTGTAACAGTCTTCCTGAACATGTGAGACAGACTTCTACTCTGACAATGTTCAAATCCAGGTTTTGTTTTGCTGCAACAACTGAAGGACTCATTATAATGTACTGGATTTTTTTTATTTTAATGCCTTGTGGTTCTTAAATACTGTCATCAAAACAGGGAAAACAATACACAATAAATATATTTTGTTGTCAATAATAAAGATAATAATAATTGAAATCGCGAATCACCGCACCTAGCCTCTCCGGAGTCCATTGTATGTCTAAGGTATGGTCCCGCGTCCACCACATGGAGCTATACTGTTTTTCTGCTTTTGTCTGCGAACAATGGCGCGTTGGAACGCTGACGCTTCGACGGTGTTTGACGGTGGCGCCCGCCAGAAGCGGCGGAAGTAGCGGGCGGACTTTGAAGCTAACGGAGTTAAGCTAGCGACTTTTTGTGCGAAGTTCTTCTCAAATAATGCAGCTCTGCATCGTCTCTGTGTCCAGAGACCTTCCAGAGACTTTATATAACAACATCATGTGTTAACGGAGTCCCCCATTGTCAACCCTGGTTTAGTCCTGGTGTAGCTCCTGTTTTGGCTGTTTACGAGTATTTTCAGTCTGCTCGCTCAGACCACTAATGTCCCCGTGACAACTTGGCTCTCTGATTGGTTGCTGCACGAGCGTCCCGAGGAAACGTTCAGCAATATTTATCTCCTGCGTGTGTCAATTTTCCGCTCCTGCGTCTCTACCGCGCAGTCCGTGCGTGCATCCAGAGACGCACATGCAATTCCACGCTCGAACGCGTGTCACCATTGACTTTGCATTGAAAGTCGCCGCAACGCATGATCTGGTCTGAACGCGGTATAAAAGTGTTAGGATCATGTCAACTTGGAGAAAATGTGATTTGGGTGTAAATAGGTGACGCACTTGTGATCCGGCATGTGGGAGAGGACATGTTTTAGTTTGCGGTGATGTTTTTATATATGTTTTTCGATGTCCCATCCCAGCTGGAGTCATGCCACAGAGCCCCATGAACTGCTGTACAATGCTGAGCGCCACACAATCAGCGCACCTGCGCCTAATGAGAAAGCAGAGGGCAAAAGGGCAGGTGAAGCACACAGAGGCGCGCAAAGGACAAACAAAGCCACTGAGGACGAGTGAGCGGAGGACGTCTGAGGACAGCGCGTTCGGGAGACCACAGCCCCACAAGACCAGACAGCGCAGCGACCCGCCTGCACCAGCGTGCCCTTTCACGCAGCGGCAGAGCAAGAAACCTCTGCCTCGCCCGTGATTAACCCCCTGTGGATTAGCTGGTGCAGCCAGGAGAGCCTCAGGCCCCCAGCAGCTGGCAAATCGGTTGTCTGTATACTGTGTACTGGCTCATGGTCTGTGGTAGGGAGCGTGGTGGAGAGGGAAGCGGCGGCAGTCTGAGGAGGCACCTGATACGGGGAAGAGCACCTGATACGGGGAAGAGCACCGTGACGTTGACTACACGCAGCGGCAGGGTGAATCCCTGCCGTGCCTGTAAGTACCTCCAGTCGTTGTAGCGGTGCTATAAGAGCATTTTGTGGGGTCTCTTGCTTGTGTGTTCGGCTGTTTGGTGCTGTCGTTTTGTCCTTGTGCCCAGGGGCGGAGCTGGACCGCAAGCAGGAGACGGTGCCTGACTCGTGGATAACACAGCAGCAGGGTGGATCCCTGCCATGTGCGTAAGTGTCCGCCCGTTGTCCGTTGTATAATACGTGGAGAGAATTGTTCCTGCCGGCCTTTCTTTTTGTTTCTTGTGCGCAGGTCCCCGGAGGACGGCCCCTCAGCGCTCGTAACTTTAATTACATTTTAAAGACTTGTTAACTTTGTTTTAATTAAATTATTGTAATAAATTATTTCTTTTTAACAGTTTGCTCTGCCCTTTTTTTGGTCACACCACTGCTCTGCCTTAGCTGTCTTAATTTGGTCCACTACTCCATCATTCCCTCTTTCTCCAATAATCAAACCCCCACCTCATTACATACTTTTTGGCCCGAAGGGGAAGAATGCAGCTCAACATTTTTTTCCACGGAGATGTGCCTTTGACAAATCTGTTCATCTGCGACACTTCACTAAGACTAACTAGGGTTACCTTGAAACTCCTCTGAGCGGCCATAGTATCATGCAGAGGGTGTCTGGAGTTACCCAGGATGCCCTGCATTAGAGCCCTCATCCTTCTCTCAAGCCCAGCTGTACCACTTTGATGTCCTGTCCATTTAGTGCATGGATCTATTATAATAACTGGATAGGGTATTACTAGCTTGGAGCTGAAGAACTCATGTGCTCGGGGGATTCTCGCGGAACTGCAGACTATACCAGACAAAATTCACGTGGGCTACCCAGACATTTTCCCCATTGAACTCAATGTAAATTAAAACAGCTCGACCTCAGCCGACAGAGAACCTACAGCTTTCATAAAGATCGGATTTTGTGGGGATTTTAGTGTCCGTTGTCATCCTGAACTTTTTTTCTTTTTAAATCCTTCTGTTTTGTTTAAATCCACACTTTAGTGCCACAAACTCTGCCCGTCTGGCTCTCGCGCTAACTCCCGCTCTGATGAACTGCTCTGATTGGTCAGAGCGCGGCCGAGCCCCTCTGTGCATGTGCGTGAGACCCGGTGTGAGACCCGGTGTGAGACCCACACACGCGTGTTTGGTGCAACGCATTATGTGAGATCATCCACTGCGCAGAACCGGGAGGACCAGACGATGCCCAAATACAGGCGAGTTTCCCATAGATCTTTGCGAGTTCCAGGCAACTTCCGCTAATCTTTTCGGCACCCATGCCGTCACAAAGCGCCACTGAGCACAACCATTCATTTGAATAGGGCGCCATCTTGGATCGCCGGGGCTTGGTTGTTTGCCTTTCACTGGCCCCGCCCCCAAGCGACAAAAGTTTTTAACAAGCGCATAGAAGAGATGCCAAAAGTTTTCAACGCGCGCAGAAGAAGGCAAGTCACGAGCGCACACACGCGTGTATTGTTGCTTGTGGTACTGAATCTGCGCGTGGAGCGAGAGAATCTGCCTGCGTGTGGTGTGAAATATGCACGTGGAGATTAGTTTGCGCGCATGAATGAAATAAAGCTGCGCGTATATGTATTAATTGTGTGTGTGGACTTTTGGCGTGAATCTGGCGCCATACAGCAGAGCTTTTGAGAAGTTTATAGTAACAATAATCCAACAGTTTTGTCCAGCGCTTTTCTGGACACTCAATGACACTTCACAGTGGCGACAGTGGCTCAGTTTCTGGAGCATTGGCCAGTGATCCGGAAGGTTGTGGGTTAAAGCCCACCATGAGACCTTCTCCACCGACAGAAGCGATGCAACCAGAGTGTGCAGTATGCAATTTTAGACCAGTGATAGTCTTCTCAAACACTGCAACATGAGCCAATGAGTACATAGGAAACATAAGAATATGGAGAAAAGGAAGACTATATTGGTGTTTGTCCCAAACCTGTCAGACCACCCCAGTCTAAATTCAGGTTACATCAACAAAAGTCATTGAGACTCACCGCTCCGGATTCTCGATCTCCTCTGTCACAAAGTTCAGGTAGAACCTACAAGAGAAAACGGCTTAAAACATCACAATGAGCAGATAATACACTCACAGTCTGAGAAATTAACATTATCTACAACACGTGTACAAATGTTTTACATATATGCAAATAATATAGGCCTCCCCGAGGTTTCTCATTTTTATGACATTTAACAACATTTAACAACATTTCTGACAGTGGTCGTCCTGCTTCCTATGGACCATTGGCTGTTATTATCTATTATGTATTATTGCATTTCCTTTGTTCAATGGAGTAGCAGGACCTCTGGGCTTTGCCCAGGCAACAAAGGGGGCTCTGGGCCTCCAAGATGGGCTCAAACCTAAGCTCCAGGTTTGAAAGGACTTCCACAACCCTTCAAAGTCTCCAGCTTCAACCTGGAGAAGTTGCTGAACTGTGGCTCCTAGACTGTGGATCGTGGGAGGACTTGGTTAAACCACATGATGCACCGCATGGTCCAGGCCCCATGAAAAAGGACTGGCCCCTCATTCATCGCCATCAAGACCCAACAAGGACCGCCATCGACCAAAGGCCCATTCTGGTTGTATGATCTGCTCTTGCTACACACAGTTGTTGGCTTTATCAAAACCTACACTTTAAAGAACACTTAGTCTCTTACCAAGGCTGCACACATGCAAGCCCGGGCCTACCAATCCATTTAGAAGGACAAAGGCCCACACATTAGCCTCATCTCACCTTAGCCTGGCATGTAAACCATGTATCTTGCAATCAGCGTTTCCTTCATGTTATTCTTGACAATTTGCATATTTCATATCTAATCTGTACCATCTACAAAACCATCTTTGTCTAAAAGTGATAATTGTGCTGATTTAACTCCAGAAATTGGGTCACTGATTTGTAAAAGAATTCATTACCTTCAGATTCTATTGAAGAGAATTGGACTAACTAGTAATTAAATAATTAATTACTCATATGATTACAGAATCAATAAATGAGCCATTTAACAGATAACGTGACGTCATACGCACGTTATCAGTTGGGATTTATTCCCTGGTTCCCCAAAATAAAGCTATTATCAATTATTGTAATTACTACATGATTGTTTTTGGTCCAATTCTCTGATATCAAATACCAAACTTAAGTTATGTGTGATATCGACTATACTCACCCTTCATATCCATTGTTTTCTACTTATTCTGTCTTAAAACTTTTAGAACCTTGAACTGAAAAAAGTGGGATTGTCTTTGTACCAGTTCTCTGTACCAGGCCCCTGTACCAGGTCCCTGTACCAGAGCTCTGTACAGGGAGTACCAGGCATCTCAAACCTCTTATGGTAGTCCAATAAACATACACAGGATGGTGTTGAAGGTGGCATGTATTTAAAGCAGATGTGTCCAATAAACACAGATACTGCTCTACCATATTTTGGAATTTAGACGTGCATGTGTATACTACTGTTGGTTAAAGTATTGTAAATATTCCAACTTGAAATAAACAATCAATAACTTCACAGAAGACTGTTTGTTACAGAGCAGAGTAGAGTAGAAAAAGGCCAATTAGGGCAACTGGAAACGTAGCTTAAGTGTGCTGCGGTCGTACCAGCCGGCGTAGGCGTACATCCCAGAGTAGAAGGCCAGCGGCATCCCAGACAGCTGCGTGTGGCTGGTATCAAAGGCATTCTCAAAGTTCCTGGTGTCTCCTGAAACCACATATTTTGACTTTTTAACCATACAACATTGTTCCTCATCAATCACAAACCTACCCACCCACCCACCCACCCCACACCCTTTGCCTGTCTAAAAGCTCAAACCCGGTTACACTATTAGTATTCTATTGTTCTATTATGATTTTTTAAATTCAACTTTTTAAAATTAATTTGTTTTGTGAACTTCTTGAGTCAAATATTCCTCTTTACAACTGTGTAGCTTGATTTACACCAGCAGCTGGATAGATCACACCCATGGATCTATAATAATAACTGGATTGGGTATTACTAGCTTATAGCTGTCGTATCCATGGGCACAGGGGGCGCCCGTGGTACTGCAGACTAAATTCACGCGGGCTAGCCAGAAAAAAGTCCCATAGAGCTCAATGTAAATAAAAACAGCTTGACCTCAGCTGACAGAGAACCTACAACTTTCACAAAGATCGGATTTTGTGGGACTTTTAGGGTCCCTTGTCATCCTGAACTTTTTTTCTCCTTAAATCCTTCGGTTTTCTTTAAATCCACATTTTACTGCCACAAACTCTGCTGCTTTCCTTCCCTCTCTGACTCCACTCTGCTGCTGCTCTGATAAGCAGCTCTGTCGGTCAGAGCACGGCCGAGCCCCTCTGTGCACATGCATGAGAGCCACACATGCGTATTTGGCGCAACGAATCATGGGAGCTCGTCCACTGCGCAGAACCGGGAGGACCAGACGATGCCCAAATATAGGCGAGTTCAGCTAATTTCCCGGACTCCGTGAAGTCCCATGCGCTACAGAGCACAAGCCATTCATTTGAATAGGGCGCCATCTTTGATCACCGGGGCTTGATCACACAACTTGACTAAAAAGCTTTCAGTATGCTTTTTTATTTTTTATAACTGTTTATTTTAGATTTAGGTTTGTTTAGAGGTTTCCGTGTATTCACTTTTGTCTGCCGCAGAGTTACATGAAAAATCATAGACTGTAAATATTAACGGAAGTAGTCACGCCTATCTCCGTGTTTCAAACAAATAGGGCACTGTCCGGTTTCCGAAATGTGCTAAAAATAGCTCAGATGACTGCGCATGCGCGCATGTTTCGGACAAACATTGTGTACGACGCGTTGAGTACTGTGTTCTCCACATACGCGTGTGTATTTACTTGGGCTAAATCATTAAATCATGGTGACAACAAAACACTGCAGTTATGGTGCTTGTCGGAGCGATTTCAGATATTCTGAAAAGGACTATCAAAGTAACATTCAACCCGTTCGTTAAACCACAACATCGGACCAGACCAGGACCAGACCAGGACCAGATCAGACCAGGACAAGTGCAAGAGGTGGGTGCTTGTGGTCGGCAGAATTTCTTTCATGAAAAGGTTAAAAAGGACACATGTTTTTTCAAAACACTTCGTCTGTGAAGCTGGACCAACTGTGGAGTATCCAGATCCAGTCCTAGCTACGTTTAGCTGGGACTGGACCTGGACCGCTGTATCTGGTCCGTCTGAGCTCTTCTGAATGTAGTTAGCACAAACTTTCTCTTTACACCATTTACCCCCATCAATCCATATTAGTATTGTTTGTCCTAATCCAGAAAGTATACAATTCTCACACCTGAAGAAAGATGAGAGGGATTTTTTTCAACTTTGTGACTATCTGAAAATAAGTTCAGACGAAGCGCGTCGGGGTCCGCTTATTATACGCTTTGTACCAACTCAACACGCAAAATAAACGTCATTCACTATTAATGCCGAAAGGTTTATTTAATGAGTGCAAAGAAAATAGTTCCCAAAGGTTTTCCCGTGGCAGGCGAGTAACAGTGAGGATAGTTAACCTACTTTTAAAAAGCGATCGCTTTAGTTGCATTAAAAAAGTATTTTTGTCATGAAAACCTGAACAGATAATTCTGAAAACCTCCGTGCACTTGTGTTATGAATGTATGTATAATGTATTCTCCCATTAACATTTAAATGTGTCGATTGATTGTCATTTGCGTTTACTGAGTGTGGCTAGCTCCGATAGTTTCTCTCTGCAGAGACAGTAGTGGCGTAACCCGTTGTGACCCCATGGATCTATTATAATATCAGCTGACTGTAGCTAACTAATGATCAAACTAATTACAAAGTGGATAGTGCAAAAAAAAAAACTTGATAAATGGAAGTTAATCACAGCAAAACAAACAAAGAAGGCGCTAGCATTGCAATTTAAATGACTAGATAATGTTAGCATAATCCTCACCATTATCTTTTTATCAACTCAAACTTTCTACTGGAAGACCACGACATTCAAGCCAACGTTATAATTGGTCTACACTATGATCCCTGATGGTTTGATGGTGGAATTTTGCCCCTGGTATTTCATTTTCGTCTAAAGTGACAAGTGGTATTTGATTCATTTCGGCAGTGTTTGTCCGAAACATGTGGGCGGGAGTTGACAGGCGGCGGGGGCGTGTCTTAGTGACGTCATTCAGATAGTTCGCTATGGGTCAAAAATTGTGCTTGTACTGGAGCTATCCAAAATGGCCGAGAGTGGTCCCGCCAACAAGAAAATTGGGAAAAAACGCATCTGCGCATGCGTCATCCGGCGACTAAACTAGAGTGGTCCAAAAAAAAAAATCACTACCCTCAGCATTGACACACATGTGGCACGGAGCTTTGGGCCAAGAGCCGACTTTTCGACCATCCTGTAAAGATGTTTGAGAGGTCAGAAGATGCTATATGTTAGCATTGGTTAATTCTTATTCCGGGTCCACCTACGTCGGCCCGGGGTGGTATTGCAAGCAGGTGAGCGCACGTCATTTTGGCCACTTTTGAGCCGGGACCCGCCCCCACTGTGAAAAATAAGCACTCGTGTCCAAACTCTTTGAAGTTGCTGAGGGCCAACACTTACAGTTGCTGTTTATTTACAGTGGGACAAAAAAGTATTTAGTCAGCCACCGATTGTGCAAGCTCTCCCACTTAAAATAATGACAGAGGTCTGTAATTCTCATCATAGGTACACTTCAACTGTGAGAGAGAATGAAAATAAATCCAGGAATTCACATTGAAATATTTTTAAAGAATGTATTTGTAAAATATGGTGGAAAATAAGTATTTGGTCACTTCAAACGAGGAAGATCTCTGGCTCTCACAGACCTGTAACTTCTTCTTTAAGAAGCTCTTCTGTCCTCCACTCGTTACCTGTATTAATGGCACCTGTTTGAGCTCGTTATCTGTATAAAAGACACCTGTCCACAGCCTCAAACGTCAGACTCCAAACTCCACTATGGCCAAGCCCAAAAAGCTGTCAGGGGACACCAGGAAAAGAATTGTAGACCTGCATCAGACTGGGAAGAGTGAATCTACAATAGGCAAGCAGCTTGGTGTGAACAAATCAACTGTGGGAGCAATAATCAGAAAATGGAAGACATACAAGACCACTGATGATCTCCCTCGATCTGGGGCTCCACGCAAGATCTCATCCCGTGGGGTCAAAATGATCATGAAAACGATGATCAAAAATCCCAGAACCACACGGGGGGACCTGGTGAATGACCTGCAGAGAGCTGGGACCAAAGTAACAAAGGTTACCATCAGTAACACACTACGACAACAGGGAATCAAATCCTGCAGTGCCAGACGTGTCCCCCTGCTGAAGCCAGTGCATGTCCAGGCCCGTCTGAAGTTTGCCAGAGAGCACATGGATGATACAGCAGAGGATTGGGAGAATGTCATGTGGTCAGATGAAACCAAAGTAGAACAGCAGTGGACTGAGTCTGGAGCAGAAACATCCACAGCCATCGTGCACAGGCGTGTGCAGGAAATGGGCTACAGAAACCACAACCAGAAACAGCGGCAGAAGCGCCTGACCTGGGCTACAGAGAAGCAGCACTGGACTGTTGCTCAATGGTCCAAAGTACTTTTTTCGGATGAAATCAAGGTGCCAGAGTGTGGAGGAAGACTGGGGAGAAGGAAATGTCAAAATGCCTGAAGTCCAGTGTGAAGTACCCACAGTCAGTGATGGTCTGGGGTGTCATGTCAGCTGCAGGTGGTGGTCCACTGTGTTTTATCAAGGGCAGGGTCAATGCAGCTGGCTATCAGGAGATTTTGGAGCACTTCATGCTTCCATCTGCTGCTGCTTATGGAGATGAAGAATTCCTTTTTCAGCACGACCTGGCACCTGCTCACAGTGCCAAAACCAATTGTAAATGGTTTACTGACCGTGGGATTACTGTACTCAATTGGCCTGCCAACTCTCCTGACCTGAACCCCATAGAGAATCTCTGAGATATTGTGGGGAGGAAGTTGAGAGTCACCAGATCCAACACTGTGGATGAACTTAAGGCCACTATCGAAGCATCCTGGGCCTCCATAACACCTCAGCAGTGCCACAGGTTGATTGCCTCCATGCCACGCCGTATTGAAGCATTCATTTCTACTAAAGGATTCCTGATCATGTATTGAGTGCATAACTGAACATCATTATTTGAAGGTTGACATTTTTTGTATTAAAAGCACTTTTTTATTAATGGTCGGATGAAATATGCTAATTTCTTTAGATAGTGATTTTTGGTTTTTCTTTACTTTTTTGCCAAAATCATCAATATCAAAACAGTAAAAGGCTTGAACTACTAGTGTAATGAATCTAAAATATATGAAAGTCTGTTTATCAGTACATTACAGAAAATAATGAAGTTTATCTCTATATGCAAATTTTTTTAGAAGGACCTGTAGAGTCTTTAAAACTAGAGTATCAGATTATTCGAAAGGAAACATTTGAACTTAAACAGAGGCTACATGTATACATCTTTGAACAGAATGACTTTAGCTTATCCTTGTTTTTCAAACCAAACACTACAAATTTGACAAGTTTCCAACAGCTATTAATTACATTAATGAGAGTCAAACTCAATATACCAAATAATTTTCATCATATCTCTTTGAAGTTCACTCTTCAACTATTTCCAGAGTTTTTTCAAATGTCATACATATTCTCAATTATATATTAGTGCCTTTGTGTGTAATATGGCCCCAGAGAGAACATGTTCAAGTGTCTATGCCCATGTATTTTAGAAAGTCGTTTCCACATTGCATGGCAGTCATTGACCGTTTTGAGATATTCATGGATAAATCTAAAGATTTGAAGGCAAGGGCGCAGACATTTTCAAAATATAAATCCCACAACACAATGAAATACCTTGTAAGTATCACTCCAACCAACTCCACGTCACTGATTTCAACGGTTTTGTTAAGTCTACTGTTGTGATTCAGGGCTATAAAAGAATGAATTGAATTGAATTGATATGAATTATAGAACGTAACCCCCCACTAGGGACCATTGTATATTTGAATACAGACGGCATCTTAATTCCTCTATACAAATGTTCCAGTCTGTAGTGCTGACCTGCGAGGAGGCGGTAGAGGCCCGGGATAATGATGATGCCCATGGCCAAGAGCTTGCTAGCGGTCAGGAAGATCTGCACTCTGGCCGACCATGTGACGCTCATGGCATTCAGATACATGACGGCAGCTGCAGGAACAGCACAGAACATACAGCAACGTGATATTGGCTCCATCTTTCATTCCATGGTCTTCCACCATGCTGATAGTGATGTTCAGAGAAGTGTGTGTGTGGTACTCACTGATACCAATGGTGGTGGCCAGCTTCACAGCCAGCGGAGGAACAGCACAGGGCATGAACAGCGGCTCCAGTATGTACCGTCCAAAGGCCAGAGAGATCACCGCCATGGCTGCAGGTCTGCGGGCATGATGGGAGAGCCTGGTCAAACTCATGGCCTGCAAGAATCATTCTTTCCCAAATAGGCGGGACCCAGACACCCTCATCGTAATATTGTTTACTACCTTTTTTCACTATTACTTGATGTTTTCTTATACTTTGGGCCATAATAAGTTCATAAAGACCACTGTCAACTCACCTTCATTTGGACTTGGATGCTAAAAAGTAGTTTTTTGGGGTCCGCCTTTTGCAAAATGATGACCACATCTATTGTCATATCAACCTAAACATGTGAAAAAATACCACAAAATGTCTGTCTGCCAAACAAATTGACATACAAATTGATAATTTTTCAGCATTTTAATTGAAATTATCATACCTCAAATGCTACTTAAAATTTGCGCAGACTCATCTTTCTATCTAGAAGATTTCATCTTCTATGACCAAAGTTCAGCTCTTAACCTCAAATTGCAGCATTTCCCTTCACTAGGTAATTGGGCATCTTAAGTTTAGACTTGGCTTTACACTTGGTCAAGTCAATTAAAGCTGGACTACCTCACTTCTTTTTTGTATTCATAAGGGAAATTCAATCAATATCCAGCATTGGGATTGAAGAATAAGTAGCGCAGGTTTGTACTGGAGTTTAATTTTATTTTAGATCGAGTTTTTGTGCAACAAGGAAGATAATTTGTTTGGGACCAGATTGTGACAAGGTCTCCCGTTAGCGCGCACACACAGCTGAGGTGAACGAGCATCATGGTGGAGGCAAACCTGAAACTTCCTGAGTCTTCGTTACCGGTTACTGCTTACACAGCAAAACAGCCAAAAGAAAGTCTCGTCCTCCGCGCTTCCCGGTTCTATCATTTTATGGTCACGCCATCCACGTGCAAATGTGCGATCCATATTGTGAGACCAGGCTCCGTAAACAACAGCACATGAGCATGCACATGGGAAACGGCTGCTTCGAAATCACAAAGTGAGTTAGTCAGCTTTAAATGAAAAGGGGGGGGGGAGGCATAGAGGGAAGGAGGGAAGAGGGGGGTTTAAAAAAGAAAAAGGGGGAGCCTCATTTTTGTACATTCTGTAATTTGTTTGATCTACCTTGTGTTCTTCTTAATAAAAATTTCATTATAAAAAAAAGAATCAATTAACCAGGAGATTTCATGAAGGACAAAGAACATATAAGGCATATTCAATATATACCAACAGATTAAACTAAAATATAACTTATAGGTCCCGTATTATTAGGCCCGAGCCGGGGTAAGGGCCTATTGCAAATAATGGCGGTGCGTGACGGACGCTCACCCCGGCGTGACGGACGCTCACCCCGACGTGACGGTTGCGCGCGTCAACTCAAACGCTTTAAAATGATGTATCACGTGCCATTGAAACTATATTGTTTTTGCTCGAGACGTCCAAAAAAAAAAATCCTTATTAGGCCCGAGCCCCGAACGGGGAAAGGGCCTATTGTTTTTGCTCGAGAGATGTCAAATTCTGCACTTTGAGCCTTAATTTGACCCCCTGAACATGCATGATAAGTTTTAAAATGTTGCCCAAAAATCAGACCTGGCAAAAATTTGATATTTTGGTGTTTATTTTTATGGGACTCAGAAAATGCCAGAACAGCGCCACCTACAACAGCCAAAATAATACCCCTATGGGAGTTTTGGAGATCAAGTTTGTCGTAGAGACATGACATTCGGTGCACATGTTCCTCTAGTCAGGACAAGATTTTTTTTTTATTATGGCCTTGCCCTCTGACAAACAGGAAGCCCATGAATTTCCCTGCAAAATGGAAAAATGAACAGCAAACGTTTTCATACATGTCGGTTGGAAATCTTCTCCTCCTCGGCCGATTCGCCTCAAAATCGCTCCACATCGCTCCACCCAGCGGCTACACCATCTCTGCTGGTGTTGCATTTTAATGCTATTGTTAGCTATTTCTAGAAATCTATTTACTTGTTTTGTTTGTATGGATGGGGATGTGTTTCTGCTGCTACTGGACACCTGAATGTCTCCAAGGTAGATCAACCAAGTATCTATCTATCTATTTGGCCTTCATACACATTAAGTAGTGTAGCGCGGAGGAGAAAACGAGGGAGACGCAGCGTGCTGCGCCAGAGGCTCAAGATTCCTCTTCCAACTACTATCTAATGTGCAGTCACTGCGCAATACAGTGGATGAGCTTCAGACAAATGTGAAGTACATGGAGGAGTACAAAAGTGCCTGTCTTATTGCTCTGACAGAGACATGACTTAAAGGGCCCATATCACGGTTTTTGACTTTTCTCTGCTTTAAACATGATTACAGTGCTATTTGGCCTTCATACACATGCCCAGAGTAGTTTATTCATTGATTCTGTCAATCTTTAGTAAGAGAGCAATCTGTCTCCTTCCCCAGCGTGAGGCACAGAAACGCTCGGGTCCACTTCAGTGACGAAAACCACACTGATGACGCGCATGACCCCGTTTGCTTTCTATTTAAAATAGTTTTTAAATACTTTCGTCAAAACGGGGTAAACAATACACAATTAGTATGCTGTTTGTTTTCAAAAATAATAAAAATAAAAATAAATTAAAAGCCGGCGGGAGGTGATTGACGGATCAAAACAGCGAATTAGAGCGCACAGGCTCCGGCTCCCGAGTCCAGCGTCTGTGGTCTGGTCTCGCGGACACCTCATAGAGCTGCTGTTTTTATGCTTTAGTCAGCAACTAAAAGTGTTAGGATCACGTCAACTTGAATGAAGTGTGTTATGGGTGTAAATATCCATCCATCCATCCATTTTCTTCCCCTTAATCCATTTCTGGGTCGGGGGGGGTGGCAGTCAGAGCTGCACCCAGTCACAGAGCACCAGCCCCTCACTGATCCTCCTGCAGGTGGTGAGTCCACAGGACACACTATTTGGCCCTAAGAGGAAGAAAGCGGCTCGACTTTTTTCATCTGTTCATCTCATGGATCTATTATAATACCGGTTCATCTGCGACACTTCACTGAGACTGTTCCAGAACTAAAGGGACAATGGAACTGGACTTACTCAAAAGCTGATCTGGAAACACGTTATTCCCACGGTAAAAGACGTAACTCGGACCCCTTCGATCTGTAAGTAGTGACGCTAACTCGCTGTATACTTCTGTAAACTAAATAACTAGGGTCTGATTGTGCATCGAGGACATAGGGCTCGATGTGACGGATTGTCATTGGAAAAAGTTTATTCTTATGTATGAAATGACTATGTACGAGTGATAAACGACAAGAGCGTGATGCTACGTCACCGTGCGGGCGGGGGGAGGCGGGCTCACAGGCAGAGGAGCAGACTCTTCTCTGGATCAGCTCGTTTGAGTCGAGGTGATGTCACCTCTATACAAGAGATGGCTCTAATCTCACAAGCTTTGATTGTTGTGTGGTGTATCGCACACATTATTATAACACATGTGCAGAGGATTGAGTGTGAAACATGAAGAAAAACGTGATATAGGACCTTTAAAGATCACGATCCCCAGTCTGATCTCAAGATTGACCGCTTTGTGGTCCCATTCAGGCTTGACCTGATTTTGAATTGTTGGCCGTGTCATTGCGTCCTTATCATTTACCCCGAGAATTCCCACAATTGTTTGTGATTGTAGTCCCATTCATCCAAAAGCTAACAATGACGGGGCAGCCTGAGCTTTCTGGCAAATGATACATTGTCTTCAGCAAATCACCCTGGACGCACCTTTATTCGTCATGGAGGATTTTAACAACTGCAAACTGGGCAGGTATCTCTGCAGTTTTCAGCAGTACGTGACTTGTCTCAATCGTAACTCAAAATGCCCGGCATTGTTTATTTAGTTCTGTCCTACAAGCCGGTCTTGAAGTAACAAACGGCGGAATGAAGAATAGCAGATCTCCATGGACGCCACCCACCCCCTGTGGGCAGAGTTTAAGATGCTCCCCTCTGGCCGCGAATTTAGCTCCACTAAATGTAGGACAAACAGATTAAAGAACATATTTATCCCTCTTGCTATTGGTATTTTAAACAGATCACTATAATTCTGTTGTATATCTATTGTTTCCTTGTGTATATGTGTACCTTTCTGCTGCTGCAACTAAATTGGCACCATTGGGTATAATAAATATACCTTGAACTTGTCGTATCCCGTAATGTTTGGTCCCGCCACCAAATGTTCAAAACTTATTTCGTGACAGAGACGCGCATCATAGTCACAGACTAAGGGGAAATAAAAATGTATACTTGGCTAAATCTAGGACTTCCTTACAGTCAATGTGTGTCTCAGTGCGTGGAGTTACTCTGTGGAACACCTTAATGGATGAACTTAAAAATTGTACAAATCTGATTCTATTCAAAGCTCTGTTTAAAAAAGATGATGGGAGAGGGGTGGGGTGAGAGAGTGTTTGTGTGCACATGCATTTTGTTGTTATTTTTTTATACCATCGGTGCAGGGACGTGCGGTGAGGTTTGTGATTGGGGAGGCACTGACTTTAAAAGTCAGATTTACAATCATTATTCAAATAAAATAGCATTTAATCACCAATGCAATGACATCCACAAACTTTATATACTGTAAAGATAAGAGAACCAGCTTCTTTTAATAATCTCACAACAAATCTAGCTGCTGACTCTGCTCCGCATCAAACAACATCTTTAAGAAGCGCAGGTGCGAGAGACGCGAGGAGAGAGAGACGCGAGGAGAGAGGAGCAGAGAGAGACAGAGAGGAGCAGAGAGACGGAGACGCGAGGAGCAGAGAGAGACGGAGACGCGAGGAGAGAGAGACGCGAGGAACATAAACAATAATTTAAACAAGTTGCAGAACTCTTGAGCAGTGTTTGAATCAGTGTTTTTCGGAAAAGCACTACTTTGCCGGTATCTGTCAATGTTCAACATAAAACACAGATTAACAAACTCCTCCCCCGCAGCCGGACTAACCTCGTAAGTCCAGTGGTGGTCTCCCAGTCTATATTAATTCTTTCTTTGTTTGAAAGTCCAATTGAGAAAAAAAATCTTCATTCAAATCATCCATTT